ATTTTTGGGTAATTCGTTGAACAAAAAGTAATTTGCGTTACATGAATGTCTCTTGGGCAATATATTCAGCTAAATGAGGTCAAAAATTCAATATGCTACAGAAAAAAATCGGTACAATTGAGGGCGTTATTTCAACTTCATTTAGAGATTAGTTTTGAACCCTAACGCTCTAAAGTACACAATAACGAATGCAAAAAGGAGAGCAATATTCGAACGCTTGTATGATGTGAACCGTACGTCGGATTGGATTGACATTTTCAATAGGCATTTTCATTCGATGAAGTGTCTTCTTGTTTTCTGGTTTTACAACAATATTATATACAACATTCGGTTGTTCTAGACAATAATCTGCACGAAAACAGAAATTTGACTAAAAATTATTATTTGAGCGGAAAATTTCATCATGTTTTAGGTATTCATATAAAAATGGCTTAATAAGAAATTAAACACATTTTTGACACCATATAACAATGGATTTGATTCTTCTCTGATTGGGCCTATACACATTTCTTTGGCAAACCATGGGAGTGCAATATTTATTTCCGTTATCTACGACAAAAAATTAATCAAAATTGGTTCTGCTTACGCTGAAAAAAACTAATGCAGTAGAGGGTTAATATTTTATCAACCAAAAACGACCAAAACTATAAATCTTCATCAAACAATTCAACAAACTTATTCAAATAAACAATTTCGAAGTATATTTGATTTGGAAAAAAATATGTTGTTGTGAACCATTTAAGTGCAAACAAACTATGAGTATATAAATAAGCCAAATCAATTGAGTTTCGATCAAAGAAGTTTTGCAGTGAATAGAATCGGAAATAAAATAATTCGGAATTTTCGGTGGATAATTATTTTCGTATTAAAAATGCCTTGTTCATCATCAGAATGTTCAACGAACAGTGTTGGAGCGGGCAACCAACTGTTTGCCTCGGTAATTCAAACATTTTTAGCGACTCAGTGTGCACTTTCATCCCCAGATTTGTGGCCACGAGACTACGGAGAAGATGTCTTGAGACGTGGTACGCTATTTTGTAATAATTCGAAAATTGGAAGATTTTTTTCTTGATTTCGTTTTAAAATTTGTAAAAAATATTCCATTGCTGAGCAGTGCGAAGTCCAATAACAGCAAGAAATCAATCTGCAAGTGCGAATTCATAACAAACTCATCCGAAAATTGAACTATAATTTTAGGTTTGCCTCACATGGATTTCATTGTGGTGGGTGCTGGTTCTTCTGGTGCCATAGTTGCAAATCGCTTGAGTGAAGTAAAAAATTGGAACGTGTTGTTACTTGAAGCTGGCGGAGATCCTCCACTCGAATCTGTGGTGAGGCAATCAAGAACCAATAGAATTTTATTTCAAATATTGCGAACTGGCCCCAAGAACACTTCAATCGATCTTAATTACAAAAGAATGCCAATAAGTATTAACATTCATGTTTATTTTGTACTTTTCTCCCAATTTTTCAAAAAGATGGTTGGAACGTTTCTCGAACTGTTGAAATCTCCAGTGGATTGGCAGTTTAACGATAATACGGCAAAAACCGCATGCAAATTAGCACCGAATGGTTGTTTCATACCACGCGCAAAGGTTGTTTTTCTTACAAACCAATTACTTCATTATTAACTTATTTTTGTTTTTTGTTTTTACGCGCAAAGATGCTCGGTGGTTGTTCATCGATAAATTTTATGCTTTTTGGTCGTGGAGTGGCCGAAGATTATGGCGAATGGGCTGCACTTGGTAATCCTGGTTGGGACTATGAAAGTGTTTTACCTTATTTCAAAAAATATGAAGGCAATCAAAATGAAACACTGGTTGCCTATAAAAATGGCAGATATCATAATGCAACTGGGCCGGTGAAAATCAGCTCGACTCCACTGACGGACTTGAATCTACTTGTGGAAAATGCCTACCGAAGTGCTGGTGTTCCTTTTATTCCCGAATTGAATGCTGACTTCAAGCTCGGCTACTCCGAATTTCAATCAACTTACTTTAACGGCATTCGTAGTAGTACGGCTCAAGCATATTTGTTGCCAGCTAAAAATCGCAAAAATCTATACGTTATCAAGCATGCCTATGTGAATCGTATTCTTCTCAATAAATCCAACGAAGCCTATGGCGTGGAATTCACATACAAAGGCAAACACAAATTAAAAGCGATTGCGAAAAGAGAAGTTATCGTCTCGGCCGGAACAGTTCAAAGCCCTTCGTTGCTAATGCGTTCGGGTATCGGACCGAGCCAACATTTGCAAGAGCATAAAATAACAGCTAAGGTTGATCTGCCGGTTGGTGAGAATTATATCGATCACATTTATACCCATTTACTTTTCAAGTACAATGTTTCAACGGAACCGCTGCCATCAACATTTCAATTCGATAGTTTGTATGAATATGTCACCACAAAGGGAGGCCCCCTTTCTGTCGTACCGTATATGACTGGGTATCTGGATACATTCAACAAAACTGGCCGTCCAGACATTTTGTTCTTTACTACCAACTTTCCACGAGGCATTCCAGAGAGTTCAATTACGGGTTTCAACAAATTCACAGGCTTCGAACTGTTCAATAAAATTATGATAATCGAAACTAAAGCGCACGATGTCGTGATCATAACTCTGGATCTAATAAAACCAAAATCACGTGGCACTTTGAGATTGAGTAAATCTCCAGATTCAAAAAAACCACTCATTCACACCAATCTTTTGTCCGATCCAAGCGACAGAGCTACTCTCGTTGCAGCTATTAAACAACAAATGGCTTTAACCAGCCAGAAGCCATTCCAAACACTTGGATTTGAATATCTGCCAATTCCAATTGCAGAGTGTGATGCCCTCGTACCTAATTCGGACTCCTATTGGGATTGTTACATTCAATATGTTAGCACAGTTGGATCACATCAAGTGGGAACTAGTAAAATGGGCGCTGTTGTTGATAATCGATTGAGAGTGTACAACACAACGGGCCTACGCCAAATCGATTGTGGAATGTAAGTTTTGGAAAAATTCCCCACCGATATATTGTTTCGGTTTTGATATAACATTTTCGTTTCTATTGGAATTGATTTTTTAGCATTCCCGTTCCGATAAGTGCTCCCACGAATGGTGCAGCAATGATGGTTGGCGAGAAAGGAGCCGATTTAATCAAACAAGACTATTTAAAATAATAACATCAATTGTATGACATATTTTCGAATATTTTGAATAAATAAATCAGATTTTTGTGGATTTTGGAGATACAGTAGAACCTCGATTATCCGTCCTCCCATTATCCGTCACCTCCGTTAACCGTCACACCTTTTCAAGGTGGAAAAGTTTTTTTTAAGTTCATTTTTCAGTTTATTTCACTTGAACATACGAATAAAGTTGCCAAGATTGTACAATATATTGGACAATGCAACAAATCTGTTCTCATATCTATCATATATTTTCTACATCACCCTGTTTTTCATCATAAACTAATTAGAAAGTATGGAAATTTTGATTACTTTGCCTTTTTTATGAGAATCTCGATTATCCGTCTTTTTCGATTATCCGTCAAGGCGCTGGTCCGGTGCCTGACGGATAATCGAGGTTCTACTGTATTTGAGATTTTTTGCATTAAATCCGGATAAATACATTTAAATATCATTCATAAACACAAAAATCCACAATATTCCGCCATATTCACAAATATCCACCATATTTCATACGACAGATTCTTAGAGATAAATTGGATTTTTTTGAAATATTTGAAATAATTTAAGCGTGATATTCCCTTAGAATTTTGTCTTTACTCGATTAGAAACGATATATACAGTAGGTGTAAAAAACTTCACCTAAAATTCGACTCATTTCTTCCCAATGGGAATAATCTTGTCAGATGTCGCTCTAGTGCTTCGATCCGTGTTTCATTTTAGTAAACATCAACAACTACACCGATTTTACGTTGTTCCCCTCACAGAGATACACAAACACAAATGCAGTGTCCGCATACATGATATATTCCGGCATCTGTCGCTCTCTGTGTCATCTACAGTGATGCGTAATACAGAAGGTAAACGATAGTACAATATGATCGATTGTCTCTTTCGCACTTCAATGAGCGTGTGTAATACGCTACAACCGACGCCAACGATTTGAATTCTTATAATTGAGAACAAAAATCTAACGGGATGTTGTTGACAAATATACACTTGCAATAGCGGCATGCGATAGCATTCGGCCACAACACATATCGGTCGCAACTGTGGGAAGAGTGAGGATTCTTCGGTATATATGTATTGTATAGAGGCTGATTTGTTGTTATTGACATGCGGTACCTCTTTCGGGATAATTTTCAACTGGGGAATCGTCTGGCATGTTCTTTGTGTCAATGTGTTTGAAATGAAAATAAAATACAGTACAATAAAAATCTGGCGATTTATTCATCACATACTTGTTGCATGGTGACTCGGAGCGCCGCTGCTGGCAAAATGTACACATGGAAATATCTCGAAAACGGCTGGGTAAATCGGCAAAACGGACCGTGATGTCACTCCTGAAAGGAGTGTAAACACCCAGCTGGTTTGATGGCCTAGAATACAAATCCGGTGGAATTTCAACCGATCCATGGATTCTATGGATTTGACCTGATTCCAGTGCCTCCTCTTTTATGTTCATCTGTAAAATCATTCTACCAATGTTTTGTATGGAATTTCAATGCAAAGAAATTGAAGTGCTGGAATCAGGTCAAATCCTGAGTTTGTTTCTCGTTAGTCGATGATTTCTGTAGTACAGAACTTCTGCACATGTGTGCATAATCAAATTAATCAAATAAGTGTTGAACCTCTATCTTGGCCAAATCAAATGAGAAACATCAATCAATAAACGAAAATGACATTGATATCATATCAGTTCGATAGATGATAGGTGAGTGATCGAACATTATATTCATTCCATAAGTTATACCAAAGCGATAGCGAAGTTAGTTTTTGGCAGCAACCCAACGGTTTAACACATGCAGCAAGTAGTGTTTAGGTTTTTAAAAGAGAGAAATATTTTTCTCGACCATTTCCAATCTCATTCAAATTCGCGTGGAATTGAATTTTAAGCAAAATGCATAGAGGCGATCTTCCTTTGCTTCTGTTCAAAATTTCGGACGAAACTTTGCCATGTGAAATAGAGCGTTATCGAAGCGTTACACAAATTGTATCAGTCTATATATGTGAGTATCTACAACTATTTTTATCCTATTTTGATGGAATAATGTGCAAAATTCGTTGAATTTTCTTACTAAAAACCTTTAAAATAATTATTAGGTGCATTTATCTCCATACCGTTCACCGTCGCAACCATTTTGGTCTATATTTGCTTGTCTGAATTAAGAAATACCCATGGAAAATGTCTAATATTCTATCTAATTTGCCGAGCATTGTCTTCCATCATAGTAAATCTTTATCTCACTCAGAATTTAGACCTAATATTTGTTGGATTTTACTTACTTTTGAGCTCGACACAATGGTTGCAAGTGATCAGCTTCGATATCTGGTGGAATTTGAGGAATTTTCGGTAAGAGAAACCGAATTTTAACTCATAAATAAATATTTTCAATGTGATTAAATCAAACTAGAGTTAAAATTATTATCGTACAGTAATATACATCGAAGGCGAAAATTGTCCGAAGGAATGCGAATCTTTTTATACATGCTGTATGCATTTCTAACGCCGTTTCTTGTAGCGTCTAGCGTCTATGGGGTGATTGAAATACCACCGTTTAAATCATTTGTCGGCATGCAAGGTAAGAATTAGATTACAGCAGAGCCTCGAAAATTAGAAGAATTAGATTAGAAATTAGAATTCCTTCGAAATTAGAAGAGAAATCTCCGCTCCATTTGCTCCACTTTTTTATATGCGTATTTTTATGCAATGTAGCAACAGTATCGAACAAAAAACATTTGAAATTAAACAAAGTACTAGCAAAGTATCTTTTGGAATCGTTTGAGGAAGTAAAGTAATTGAGCCACTATTAGAGGTTTTTTCGAATATTATAAGCCTTAATTCGAAAATTTCGAAAAAAACCATATTAATATGACTTCTATTTGAAAGTGAAAATTACTACGCGCATCGTAATCATATACAATAATGATAGATTTTAAGTAAATTGGATGCAGAATAAGGGCATCTTTTGAGTAGAATGTTCGATTCTCATTCAAAAATGAATCAATTTTGATCGGCGCCTATATTTTAGGGATTTGAATTACTCCAAATTCACTTTAGATTCGTTTTTCCACGAAAATATTACATCCGCATAGTTTTCATGAACTTTCAGGCGGAAATTCTTCGAATTTGATTGAAATCTTATTGAAAGTTTTACTCAGAGCATACAAGTATTGAAATTTTGTTTAAATTATGATTCAAAATTGTATTTTTATGCGAGAATCTAGTTTCGGTTTTACTATAGTGTTATTTAGTTCATTTATTCGTAAAATTAATGCGAAAAATTATGCCTCCAAAATTAGAAGAATTCAGAAATTAGAAGTACCCGAAGTACAAACACCTTCTAACTTCCGAGGCTCTGCTGTATTTATGAAAAAATTCGAATTAAATTTTGCATTTATTCCATAGATTCATGCATACGAAGCAAGCGAATATCAATCGTATACTATTGTCTCACATTTCCAATAATCATCATATTTTTCGAATTGACCACGCTGAAAATTTGTTCAGAACAACGGAAAATCAAAAGGTTAACACCGCCCGACATAAATAGTTGGTTTCTAAAAAGCTTTATGGCTCAAAAAGAGAAGTAATGAACCATTTAATGGGAGATATCAACGAAAAGAAAAAGTCAAACTCAAATTACTGTGCTTTTTCAGCTTCCTGTTATATCTGAGACTGTTCATTCTCATGGGCATGCATGTGATCATCTCGTGTCTTCTATTTGAATTATCGCTCGGAGCTGTGGCATCTGGCGTACTGGACATAAGTGAATCACTAGAAGGATTGTGGACTTTTGCGCTGCTTGTACTTAAACGTAACGTGTTACGTTCAATCAAGCAAAGGTGCTGATTTTTGACATTTTTTTTTAATTGACCATGGTCCATGTACTGATAGAATTTTAGAATTTTCATCCATTTTATTCAGGTGGGATCTTATACGAGCATCTTTTGGAACAAAAAATTCGAATTCAATCCAGAATAGATCCACACTTAATTCCGATTCCAATCCGATTGTATAACAATGCAATCACTCATACGGCTAATGAAATGTGTGCGAAATATGGAAATACCATGTTCACAATTTAATTAAACGGTTGTCATAAATGGTTGTCATGTGATAACTGCGATAACTATCACATGCGAAATATATTGCTTCCATTTTTTACTATCACTAAACCTTGTTTACTTTTCGCTTTGTTTTTCTCTTCGATCGTTTTATGCATGACATTTTGGGTATGATAATGTATAATGTATCTATGCTATTTTGATGTAAAGTGACATTTTTTCTAAGCTAGTTGAGCAGTATAGTTGTGCCCATTATTTGGATTTATAAGTATGTGTTCTGGAATTTTTTCGACACGACATAAAGGCATCATTTGGATAACAATTTTGTGTGGTTGGATTCTCGTGGTTTTCTTTAATCCGTTTGATAATTTTGACAATGCTATTAACGGTGACACCGATTTTCAAACTGAAAACGATTCTGTTATCATAGAAAACACCGTGAAAACCGACAACTTTGCCACGACATTGGGAATATTCACACTCAATATCATCGCATATATATGTATGTAAATTAGTCTAGGGGAAGAAAAAAATTTGCATCACGATGAATCATGGAAAATGATACATCTATTCAGAATTGATATTTTTCATGTTGAAAATACTATTTTGTTTCAAAAATTCTACTAGTCGTCTGAGCTCACTCTATCAGATGATTTTTCATATTTTTATGCCTCAATTTTTATTTCGAAATTTCAGGTGCAATTGTCTCGATTCCGTTTCTGGTCGCAACAATCTTGGTTTACATTTATATTCCCGAATTGCATAATTTGCATGGAACATGTTTGGTTTGCTATTTGGTGTGTCTGGTTTCTTCAAATATTCTAATGAATCCGTACATAATAACGACAAAATATGCATGTGTTGTTGGCTCTTACTTGGGTTTGTGCACACTTCATTGGTTACAGGTTATTGGCTTTGATATGTGGAGGAATCTAACAAGTTTACAGTATGTAATTAATTCAAACTAGTTTCAGAAAAACAACTATTGGGATTGGTTTTTCGAACAATATTTTCAATTCTTTTTGAGAATCACAATTTTACATCAGTTTTTTTTAACATTCCATTTTATTAGAAGTATTGAACCAAAATCATTTGAAATGAAGCGATTCATACTGTACATGCTTTATGCGTGTTTCGCACCATTGTTTTCATTTTTCGGCCTTGCTGAGCTCATCGTTGCATTGACGTCTCTCGAACTGTGGCAAGGTATGATATTCTCAAAGATTTCCATAAGTTTTATCAATACCAATCTCATTCAAGGATTCATTGTGGTGAGCATTGTCTATTTATGCCTAACACTTCCCATGATCATCGTGTTCTTCGTTTTAACCGCATTGAAAGTGCACCGTGTTAGACAAGAAATAAAAGAGCTGACAAAGTACGAGGAACACTTCCGACATCGAAACAACTTAAAAATACAAAAGGATAAGTGAGCTTCAAATTTTTCGAAAAAAAAACATACGGTTCATAAAACTTCCGATTGTTGTCTTCGTAAAAGAATACAAGCGATTCACATTCAGCAGATACATATTCAATGGGTTCCATATTTCCAGTTTCACCATGTACATTCGTCTATTCATTGCGATGGCTGTGCACGTATGCGTATCAAACATTTTATACATTGTGTCACATGGAAGTATGTATGCCGATATAGCCGCCCTATTCCTTTCATTAGAAGGCGTGTGGATTTTCGCATTGCTCGTACTGAAGCGCGATATATTACATTTGATTAAGAGAAGGTTATTGATGATTTCTGGTATCGATTTCTATCTATGTAATTATTTCTCGGCACTGATTTCTAGATTACGATGTCTGAGAAATTTGCGTACCAAAAAAGATTCTACAGCCACCAACCGAACAAATGTGAGCACCTGACGGAGTTTAATTGCATCTAAAAGAAAACAAATGAAAGTTAAATATCGCACTCAAACAGAGTTTGATCAAGACAATAAAACCAATATAGATTTCGATGGATTCGATTTATTTGGCCAATAAATTATTTGATTTGAGTTGCTCGTGCTTATCATTGCTAAATTTATTAATCAATTCTCTGGTGATGTGTGACATGGAATTGCCGCTACTGTGCTTAATCTATTTAAATGTATACGAGAGAAAAACTAGATAAATTCACTTGATTCATATTCGCATTGCATCTATATGGCTGTATTGTGAACTTATATAGATTCTTTGTGTAAATTGACAAATAGTTTTACTAAAAACGAATACATCATACCGCATCATACATAACAATATTTGGTTAGAATAAAAATGTGTACATTTCAATTTGAGATGTGTAAAATAAGAACATTTGCCCCGTTTACAAGAATTTCCTTGGAATGAATGTGTGTGTGTACAGTAAATTTTGTTAGGAAAAAGCATGGATGACCAAAAACTTCAATGGTTAAGATAGAAAAGGCGTAATTTTGCGAATGTGCAATTTTGAATTGTGTTTACAGTAGTGCCACTGCAGGTGTGCACAAATTTAGCAGACATGTAGACGAGAGCCATTGTAGCGTGACTACTGGCTACCACCACACAGCGTACGTTTCTAAACGAAGTATTACACTATTGCAAAGTTGACATTCATTTTTTTGGTAATTAAATCTAAATTTCTGTATAAAAATCAGGTCGTTCGATGCCAAGTAGTTTGAAGACATTCGGAAGAAGACAGTTTACAATGAATCCAATACTGCCATACACGAAGAACTTGTAGCTAAGTTCAACGATGATTTTATCACGATTTTCCAATGTACTTTCAGATGCTTTGACTTCGTTTTGATCGCGACCCAACAGCATGCACACAAATGCATAGGCAATTGATTTGCCAAGAGCTCGGGTTGCGATGACGGCACACAATCCCAAAATAGTTCGCAATATCATGGAACCAAGCATTCGATGTGTGGGCCAAATGATTTCATATGGACGTGTTGAGGTAAGCTCTGGCGGTTGGAAGGCACCCAATTGGTAGTTTAACCATGCTCCAATGAGAATGCCAGTTGTCACTGACATGATCATTGTTGTATCACCTCTGTGGAAGAAGAAAATTTGATTAGTTTGGATGTCATTATCTTCTTAGACGTGTCCAAGTTTCATTTGACATGTTCGCTTTCAAAAACACGGAGGCTGTGTCGTCACCCACAACAATTTAATCAATTCAAAAGAAAATCTTACCTTGTTGGCGTCCATTTGTCCGAGCATGGGTAGTAAGTAATTAACAAAATTGGAATTCCAATGACAAACAACGGTGAAAAGGCTGATGACAAAACGAAGTGATCCAAACGATCGATCAGTGGAACCAACGGAATCATCAAACAAATCGTCAGTACAATGCCAGCAATTACATCCTACAGCGGAAAAAAAAACACGTAAAATTCAATCAATTGTGTATTGAAGTTGTATTTTGTAATTATATCGATAAAAATCATACTTACGGCAACGCTGTGCATACCCAAGTAAATTCGACTCACACAAACAACCAAACACCAAACGAATGCAATCATAAAACCATTCGTAGCCGTAAATTGATAACTGAAAATAAAAACAATTTGATACGCATGCCATTAGAACAAAAAATCAGTATAAAAACTAGTATGTGTTATCAATCGATCAGTGTGACTCACCGGTCTAGCATGAAGATAACAACGGAGAATGGCATGGCAACTGCAACCTGAAAAATAAATGCATTTTTATCAGAGTTAATTCATTGTAAATCGTTGTGGAATTTCCCCGTAATATTGGAAAAACACACACGATGTGTCATACTGTTTGTGTATACAAACCATTGCATGTGTTGAGGGCATGCCATATTCAATGCTCCATTTGTTTTGAAGTCGTTTAACGGGTGGACCAGGTCTGGGCCATCGGATAATGTCCTTCAACACTTGACCAGTGTACATAACAACCGACCACACGAACACAACGCGCCGTCCTACGGCTCCATCAATGTTCCAGAACCAAAATGGGATCATTGTTGCGTAGAAAAGTTCATCACCCAATTCCGTACCAATAACAAACAAATAGTACCAAAATTTATTTGTTATTTGATAGCCTTTGTTCGCTATGTCTGTTTCATTTGACCCATTTTTATCCGATGTCTTATTGCTAGTCGACACACACTCGGATTCATCGCTTTGTTTTCGACGATGTTTCTTGTGTTCAGGGTAATTTGAATATTGATTTCGCTCCAAATTTGGTGATATGTTGTGGTCATACAGTGCGCCTTCTTTGTCCATGTACTTTTCTGCCTTTGAATCAGCGTATTTGATACCAAACCATTCTTGAACTGTCACCACTAGCTCGGGTTTCTTCAAATACTCCACTATAGACCACATTTCCTTTTGGTTTTTGCACTTAGTTCGGTGAAACACTTTTTTTCACTTCTACGAATTTTACATGAGTAGTCTTGGTAACAATCAGCAATGCTTTGACTGATAAAGTTTTTTTTTCTCACTGACATTCTACGTCTTCAAACGTCACATAGCCGAAGTTAACAGGTTTCCAACGAACTGTCAACGAAGTGAAACATGCATTGAAAACTGACAACGGAACGAAAAAAAAACCGTTAAATCGGTTGATTCCATGGATTTTTATAAAAGTGATCATTTTTGCATGCTAAATGGAAAAATCGAAACGAAAAATCGGGATTTGAATTTTTTTGAACAGAAAAATGAGTTTTTAATGAAAAACATAGCATTTTAATCGAAAAATCCCGAAAATAACCGAGTACTTTTTTAAAATTGTTGCAACGCGCTGTCATTCAGAGCGAATTTCATGTTTTTGGCAGCCCTGCCAACGCAATCGGTTGAGTTTCCCCTCAACAAGCAAAAATTTTGTTGTTATGCCATTGGCAGCGCTGTAGCGTCTTTACCGGTGTCTCATTAAAACGCACACCAAAACCGAACCGTTCACCGAACCAAGAGAATCAACAGAAAGCGTGTGTGCGAATGTGTTCACTGCATTTGGACTGGATGCGAATGTGTGCGTGCGTGTGTTTGTGAGTATAGTCGATTTTTAGTTAGATTGGAGTGTGATCAACCAACGTTTTCTGAGAAAACTGAAACCGAAAAGTTGAAATGTGCTCGCACTGAATCATCCACATCCATACAGATACATGCATACACACTGTGAACACAAATTGGCTTTTGATGAAGAAAAATTGCACAAAAATCATTTGCAGCAAAATTTATCGAATAAATGGAAGATTTGGTTCAATGCAAAGAATCACAGACTTTGACACCGATGAATCAAAAGTGTACAATTTTTTCGTTGCTGTTTGGTTATTGTTTCATTCGTTGGTTCGTTCGCCGACACCGACCAATTGATGCTTTAATGCATTTCGAGCTAATACAAATTCAGCCTTTTGTTACACGATGAATTTTCTTGCAATAAATTCAGTTCGTGGTTTGTATCCATTACCCCTCTTCTCACACTCACACAAACCATACACGCACACGGACTATCGATACCATTCGCTCTTTCGTTCGCTCTGTCTCTCAACCGAACAAGCAACAGCTACAACGACACAAACACGATTTTATACACACTCGCAATTAAAATATATACGCCGCTACACTGTATGCCCTGCGATGAATTCGTTGCCTCAGCGATCGCATTTCAGAAGAAGCAGCCTCTAGCAGTCGAGCAGACAGTTTTATATGTGTCGGTAAAGTGAGTAGTTGTGTTTCAGTTTTTCTACAAAGCGAATTTTTTTCGAATCTCTCGTTGCGTCTATTTTGTAAAAGCGTGCATTTGTTTCTTAAAAATCAATCAATTTTTTAATCGAAAGTCTCGCAAGCGATTTTTTTCGTTGTCAAAAGCAAAACACACAAAAAATCAGTTCGAAAGAAGAATTCACTTTTTTTGTCAATCAAAAAAAGATAGAGAGAGAGCATACGATACACAAGGCGTTTTCCAGACGAAGGATTTGAATTCGATTCAGAAAACGAGACAAACCAAGCGATTTGATTTGTATTTGAAAATACAAAAGAAAAACTGTTGAACGAAAAGAAATTTCCGAACGGAATATTTCCGAAAATTGGTGAATTGTGCAAACTGTTCTTGAGAAGCAAAATTTCCACGGTTACGTGCAAATTCGGTTATCACAAAATAGGATAATTCCTTGCGGTCTCAAAGTCGAATAAAGCGAGAAGGATTCATTTGCTGCATTTTGCGGGAGAAAATAGTTTTTTGGTAAGTCATTTTCCGTCTTTTCAAAAATCCGCTTTTATTTATGCGTTTAAATGGCTACGGAAAAGAAGGAAAAACGATTTAATTCTTGTTCGGTTGCTTATGCATTCATTTTTTTTTCTTCGTTCAGTTTGTGGATTCAATTTTTTATTTTCATTGGGCCTCATTCATTCGTTGCTTATATACAAGAAGTTCGGTTAGACACACACATAAAAAAAGGATGTCATCGTTTCTCATATTTTTTTCTCGGTTTTCACTCATTCCATGTGAATGTCGTTCAGTTCGTACGTATTTAATTTAAATCGTTTATCCTTCCGTTGCTGTTGCAAACGTTTCGTGTCTTTTTCTCTACCAGAAAACTGTAGCATACATAGAATTGAAGTCTATAGAAAGACTGAGCAGAAAAAAAAAGTCGGTTTAAAGTGTTCCAAACGGTTTGAACGCGATAGATACGTGAGAGCGTTGCCGTTTCATGGTTCTTCATAATGTGTTATTGCTGCTGCCGAGCCAAAGAATTGGCTCTGAAAACGTTTTTGACTCTGTTGAGCCTGTGCATATACACGATGTGTGCGAGCAAGAATGAGATACAGCGACAGAGTGAAGGTGAAAGAGTGAGAACCAGAGCCATTGCGAACTTGGTGTATGACGAAGAAGTGCAAAATATACGCTATTAAATGTATTAAACAGCGACGAACAAAGAATTCGGTTCGTTCGCATCTTTTTGCCATTTCTCTCTCCTTTTGCTCTCTCTCTTTCTCTCTCTCTCTCTCTCTCTCTCTCTCTCTCTCTCTCTCTCTCGGCAAAGCATTTCGCCTCGTTTCAGTTTGGTTCTTGTTATGCTTGCCGTGTGCTGTTTTATACATATACATATAGTTTTTTTTTCTCTTTTTCGTTACGTTTCTTTTCTGCCATCCCGTGAGTAGTGTATATATGCGCGCTTTTATGAAACTTGGCTCGTTCTCATTTTCGTTGCTCTTTCATTTGCTGCCTTTTTATTTTCAAGATGAAAAAATATAAAAAAACGAATCCGTGCCTATTGCAAAACTTTCTGTACATGTAAAGACGGCACATGCAACCGGTTTTTTTCATTCGATCTTCATTTTTTTTTGGTCGTGTATATTCTCTCCTCTCTCGTATTTCGTTAATTTGGATCTGTTGAATTTTCCATTCCTTTTCTTCCTTAGCATCGGTCTATTGAGAGCGGCCACTCGCATACATGGTACATTTTGTAAAAAAATCGTGTATCTCTGTCGTTTCGGTGCGAATTATTTGTACGTGTATGTGCGGTGGATGACCAGAGTGATGGTTTGTTTAGGTGTATGCGTATGTCTCGTGCACAAGAAAATCCAACTCAATGCGCGCTAACGACAATCGAAAAGTTTTTTTCATTTTCGTTCTCGTCGTCTTCTTCTGCTGTTTCTCATTTTACGTTTCATTTTTGAAATATTGTTGATTCGTGTTGTACATGAGATGTGTCGCGAAAAACTGTCGATAAAATGAATGTTTGCTATGATTTCGCCCTTATGCGAACCATTTTTCGGTATAAAATTTCCACACGCACACATGCACAAGAGCGGTTTTGCACAAGGCATGCATTCGAATCCCTGTGTGTGTGTCGGTCTCTGTCTCTCGTTCCATGTAAACACATGTAACACTGAAAAATGGTCGCACCAACACATACACACGCATTCATCCAGTTTATACACACCCGATTTTCGATGCTCGGATTCGTAGCGAGCGCGTCTGTGTATCCGTGTGTAGCACACTATACTGTGCTTGCTCTCTGCGTGTTGTACCTTCAGTACGATGGTTTTGTTCATTCGTTTAAACCGCCCGTTGAAATCTCTCGAACCGACGAATTCGGTGAGTATATCGAACGAGAGCGCCCGTTCAACAGAGACACGGTTCAGCTCAGTCACTCATTGCATTTTCGCTACATGGCAAATCGGTACACTTGGTATTGGGATACGGTTTTTTAAAATGCGGCTCTCTTCTTCACTCACTCTCGCACTCGCTCGCTCCTGCTCGTTTGTCCTATGCCTCATGTAAATGTGCTCAATGGCATACAAACTGATTTCGATATTTATATGCGCTCGAGGAGTAATGTAATGGCGGGCTGATTTTTCGTACATCGCCATAGTTTTTTTTCTCGTCTCTTCTGTCGCTGTTGATATTTGTCGTCGTTCATCTTTACTTCATTTAAACCTCCCGAGTGCCACATTGCACCAATTTTGTGCGTGATTTATTATGCGTTTTTCGTGCATTTTTTATCGGCTTGCTTCGCGCGCGCGAGTTCATATTGTCCAGCTGGAAAAATGTTGGAATCATCACATTTTTCGGCCGGTCGACACAGCACCAAAATAATTTGGAACGCAGAGCAACAGAGAAAAAAAAGAGAGGAAAAACACAATACACAATCTTGTTTATAAATTGTCCGATAAAATAATATTGACTGATTTTACTAGCGCAATTTATTTGGTTTTGATGCGAACGCATTCTTCGCCATCGCAACAAACACAATAATAATTTTTGCTGTTGGTTTTTTGCTTCTCTTTAAGTAAACAACATTTTTCAATCTGTTGTATGCGTTGTTGGCTCTCTTTTTTTTCCTTCTTCTGAACGTCATACCACACAGTTGATGTATGCAAAATAATGCACGGGACGTTTCGAGTTTTGTATATCAATTGATTCCATTTTTATTTTTCTCTCGGTTCTGTCCAAGTCTCCTTTGATTGTGGCAAAAATGTTGTTGTGTCTTTATCAAGTCCAATTAAAATTCATTAAAATTCTTTTGTATACACAACGAACACAAATACACACAATTCATGTATATTATTTTTTATCGGGTCCGGCTTTCCGTTCGCCTCACTCATTTTCTACATCGCTCATTTTTCAATGGCTTATTCAATCGAACAGATTACGATTCTGTTTTAAATTGTTGGTGCAATTATGAAATTCCAGATTGAAAAATGAAATGAAATCGAACAAAAGAAACTGATAAAAGAAGCACAGCAGCAGCGGCACTAATAATAATGCTGAGCGATCTGAGATCAAAACGGGTTGAGAGAGCCATAAATTTTGGTATATCAGCAAATCTGTTAGTTCATGCGTGAAATTTGTATCAAATTTTCAGCTCTATTTTACTGATGCCCTCGTGGCTTCGATTTTTTTTTGCTCTTTTCATCTTCGTCTTCATCGTCATTTTCGAAATGTAATTATGTTGTTTGACTGATAGCTGCTTGTTTTGTTGTCTGTCTTTCTTGGGCATCTCTCACAAATCAAAGCTAAATCTAATGTCAAAGCAGCTTCAGTGTCTTTATCTCCGATTGCGTGCTTCTCTCTATACATATGTGTGGAAAAATTTGGATTTCATTCGAACAAAGAATTAATCTGCCGACCGGCACACACACACAAAAGCGTGTGATTGAATTAACGTCCACCAACCGACCAGACAAAACCAAATCATCAGAAACATGCATACACAACAAACAGACAGAGGCAAATCAAAACTCATTTCTTTACTTGAGCACACAAAATATCATGCGCTTTTGCGTTTCGTTTATTAAAGCAATTGATGAAACGAGAAAAAAAAAGAGAAACGAACGAAAATTTCAATAGAAACCGAACCACGAAAATGGATAGAAAAAGGAAATAGACGTTTTAATACGAAAATCACGCATTCATCGCATTCATCGACGACAAAAAACTAAAACATGAAACAAATACTTAGTGTACGAGACGGAGAATATGCTCGAATTATGGCGGAGATTCAAATTGACAGATCGTCTTTGTGTGTGCGTGTGAGTGTTGGTTGTACGGCTCGAAAATGGATGTGAAGCCATAAAAATATGGTTTAACGAGTAGGATGCATTATTTAGTGGTGCGTTTTTCTTTATTTTCATTTAATCCTACGTACGGCCAATGAATCGGAGCACACTGACTAACCGACTTTGACTCGGCTTCAATTTTATGACCTATGAAAACTGGATAAATATGAACGACATTTCGTTGCGCTCCTTTTTACTCACTCATCCAAAAAGGAAACACGAAGCACCCGTAACATAAGCGTACGAAACGAACGAACGAACGAACGAACGAATGATTTTAGTAAGATAAACAAAGAAACATATAAAATCGGCCGACAAACGACGATATAAATACTCTATTCGTTCACCTTTTTTTTCATTCAGGTGTGGACAATAAACCAGAAAAATATGTAATTAGAATTTGTATTCTTATTGTTGAGCTGCAGGGAGAGTGGAGCCGAGTTATAAGGATGAATTTTTTTATGTTTTTACTTCGTTTCGATTCGTTGGTATGCAAATTGTTGTTGTCACTGCGCGCCACTTTTTTTTCCTTTCCTCTCTCTCTCCCTCTCTCTCTCTCTTTCCATATGTTGGTTTCATCCATTGATGCTTTAAAGTGTATCGTAGCTCACATGAAGTTCACATAATGCGAACGAGAGCCATAAAAAGAATATGCGTACAGTAGCAAGTTATGGTTGGCGCAGGCAAAACTCGATGCAAACATTACATTGGTATTTTTTTGCTGCTCTTCACTCGATATATCGACAGTGGAAATGCATACGAGGAACTCGAACACGGTCATGTATACATGCGATCGGCCACAGACGGACGAGCGCACGCACACGCATCAGCACACCAGAGTTGACAACATATTTTTAAGTTGTAATTTCCTTATTTCGTTGGACACCCAATAACGAAACGAACGAAAAAAAATTGTTTATCGATTGGATATTGGCTATGTCAGCCTTGCCGTATGTGTATTTGCACGCTGTTGCAAAAAAAAAATTCGTTAAGCTCGAAAAATCACACTTACACTAATGCAAACATGAGTGTGTTAAGCATATAATATCGCCGGTCGCTTAGTTCGAACTAAGTTCGGCTCGACCGCAACGATAAATTATGTGACCAGATTTAAATAGATTTGATTATGGTGCACACATTCTACAAGTAATTCACCATGTTGTATGTTTGTTGGTC